TTGCTGCCCAGCGCAAGGGAAGAGCAAGGTCATGGCTTTCTGCCAAGTGTCTTGGAAATCCCTCCAAGAGATAGAAATCTGCCAGTTCCCAGCAGCTGTATGTGTGGGCATTCAGACTGACATCTGCAGCCGTGCAGAGCTGGGGTGCAAAGTGCATCACCAGCTATAAATTGTACTTCGTGGTGGTGTTCTGATGAATCTTTTTTTGTTACAATCTAGAGATGTGGAACATCATTTTGGATCTTCTGTTTTAGTCACCGTTGGCAAGATTACATTTCAAATACACTTGTGAATTAAGAATATGGTAGCAGGGAAAGTACTTTCCTCTGCCACTTCATTTTTGCCTTTCATGTGAATAAGTGAGATTTTTATTGCCACTTGTGTTTGAAGCCTCTGAAAGGTAGCATGCTAGATTTTGGAAGTCTGCTTCATCATCTTGACTCATTGGGGAGCTGACCTGGTCAGTGGGAATTCACGTCCTGTTGAACTTAATGCCACAACTGTGATCAAGCAGATGGAAAAAATGCCCAGAGAGAGTACTGTTTTAAACTTCTGTTTTGTTAAAAGGTTTATGTTTAGAAGAATTGTATTGTAATGTCATATTTTTCCTCCTTCCACAATCAGTGCACACAGCTTTGTTTATTGGAAGTCCTGTCATCGTGCAGAATAAGTAGTACAGTAATAGTAATATAGACAGCTCTGAACTAATGCTGCCGGTGAGACATCAGTAACTCACCCTGTTAGCAGCTCCCCTAAATTTAGCTTTAAACTAAATATATTTTAACTTCATCCACTGAGCAAACTGTTCATTTTGCAACTGAATCCTGAAGCTGTAGCCCTATGAAAATATACTTGCTTCCTTATTAATAATTAATCTTAATACATTCAATGTAAACATTTTTTTATCATGAAACATTACCCATCTGTTAAAAGAAAAACATGACTTTGACACACGCTTGCATCTTTTATATTCAGAGTTTTAATTTGATGTGAGTTAACTTTGTAAGGAACAGCCTGCATTAGTGAGGATATAACATGTAAGCAGTGGTTTTGACATACAGGAAACATCATTGTAAAACAAAAATCAATGTTAATTTGGCTAGTTTCTGAACCAACAAAAAAAAAACAAACTAGAGGTGTACATCACTGGAAAGGCTACTACAGCTTCTTGGCATGTGATCCTCAGGTATTTCGTACCAGGAGAATTTTTAGCATGGATTCTGGATTAATTTGTTTGCTTCCATGCAGATAGTTGTAATGGTACCTTTCGTAGGCTGAGGTACCTCTTCTTCTTTAGCTCTTTTTCAAGTAATTGGTTTTTACCAGATATATATGAGGATATTTCTGTTGATGGCCGTCCTGGTAGTCATTTAAAAATAAGTATTTGAAAATAGAGTTCTTGAATATCACTATATAAGGAGGCAAATAGAGCCATTACATATTATTACTGGGACTTCAAAGGAATCATGGGTCCTGGAATTTTTGTCACTGGCATGACGGCAAAATATTTCCGGAGTGCTGGCTCTCATCTGTCTCACTAGACAGGCTAAGCCTGGGTTAAAAACAGTGATCTCCGACTACTTAAGCCAACTGCTTGGTGTTCCAGGTTCAGCATAATGCTGGCAAAGGCTTGCAGGGAATGTGATGTCATTTTCCACCTGCTGAACGTTCTGAAATGTGTAGTTCCTTTCCTGGACAAGTGCCGAGGGAACTGACTTTGTTCTGTGTGTGCATATATAAGGTCACGACACTTGCTGGGAAAGAACATTATAGGAGTGATACTGTGTGGGGAAAAAAAAAATTGATGCTTGCAATTGCAGGGGCTAAAATAGCCGTACAAAGCAGTCGAGTTCTAAATTTTCTCTCCGCTGAACAGAAATTGTTGCAATTGTGTTTGTGCTACTAGTCACTCACAGGGAGCTGAAATATGGGAGCGGTGAGAAATGCCGTTTACTAGTTACTTTCTGAGAAGAATTGTATTATATAATTATGTTGTGGTAAAACAGTATGAGTTACATTAAATGAAAGTTTCAGATGTTTATCTAATTTTTGAGACATTTCCCATTTTTGTATAGTTAGTTGTATATATAGTGTGCATTTGAAGGCATGTTGCCTTCAAGTAGAGAATGTACAGATCTGACACAAATAGCAATAAGTGGCTGTACTGAATTGTCACACCATGTGTGTGTCACCATGGTTTCCTTGAACACATTATTGATTTAAGACCTATTTTGAGTGTTCATGTGCATTAGACTTTGCCTGTAAAATTAATTACTGACCTAATGATGAAAATAGAAATCTTTTTTATTTTTAGGAGTTTTGTATTTGTCCAGCATTGAAAGTCAAGGGTCATTTATCTTATGCAACTTAATATTTTTTGAGGACAATTTAATTGATTTTTTTTCCTTTTCTGTACCTTGTTGTATCAGTGCAACATTACTATAAAACTTTTTCATTGCAGGATCTTTGTAATTACACAGCTGGCTATTACAAATAACAGCTGGCAGCTGATGGAGTAATCTGTAACTTCCAAGGGAGAGGAAGAAAGTGGCATAAACAATATATCCTGCTATTCATGCAAATAACTTGCAAAAAGCAAGTTAGTGTCTCTTTTTCAGTTGTTAGCAAGCACTCCAATCAAACAGGTAAACCCCTGTTACTGTAGGAATGCTTTCCTTTTACTGTTAGTTGTATCCATCTGGCTACACCTCAAGTAAAGTTTTGGCCCCATTTGGAAGCTGACTTATGTCTGGACACCACATATATGAAAATTGTGTGTGGAAAGTGAACTTTAAATGAAGAAAATACATATTTTGTGTAAGTATTTGCATGAACGTGTCAAAGATCATTTTATTGAATGGACTTGTAGAAGCTGCATAGGAAAAAAATTAAGATAGTGGAAACAAAGTTAACTTTTGAATGAACCCTAATTTTTGCCATATACTTGGATTATGTTGGAATTCCAGTCGTTGATTTTGAATCGGTGTTTTTAGCATTGATTTAAGTGTAGTGGACAAAAATTTTAAACTATGAATAATTTAGTTTCTGTTGCCATCAGAGAATTAAAGTGCCTGTGCTGGATTCTGCGGACAAGTCAGTACACAATAATGAAAGGAAGTTAAATAATAAATAAAACATAAGTTGCACTTCAGTTACAAAATTGTCTTTATGATGAGAATAGGATCTTCAGGCTATATTTAAAACTAGACCAGAAGTGCCTTTTTTATCTCAGTAAGAAAATTGCCTGTTTATTTCTGCCAGTTGTTACCATTCAACACCGTGGACTTTGGTGTTTTATCTTTTATTAAGAGAATATAACACAAGAATAAATTGGGGGAGATTAAAGAAAACTGCCCCTGAATACTGATTTCCTCTTTGACCCATTGGATATGGTAACAAAAGGCCCCAGATTAGAGGCTGCTTACATTTTGGAGTTGCAAATGATACTAATCATAATGACTCTTTTTCAGTCCTAGCATAGTTTAAAATAAAAAACTTAATTCCTAAGATATATTTAAATACTTCTGCATCATGTTTGTAAGTTAGATGCTTCCAGTTCAAGATTGTCTGTCAAATATTAATATGTTCTAATGGAAAATGTTCACTCTAGAGACAGTCCTTGCTTTTAACAGTTTGGGAGTTTTTAATGTTGAGATTTTTCAGTGATGCTCAAACTAAAGTTATTAGAAACAAGTGGGTTTTTTTTCACTGAAACTGTGAACGTAACTGCTAAGTTCAGGCTGTTATGTTTTCTAATTTCTGAGCATGTGTTAAGACAAAGTGATTGTAATCACTTAATTATAACAAAGTTTATAATTTTTTTGAGCTCCCTAGTGTTGAATCTTTAACTTACAGCTACACTCACATGCTTCAAATCAGCCTTCTGTCTGATGGTAACTCTGGCCTGAGGGATGCATCATGATTTAAGGTCTGTGAAAATCCTGCCGTGATTTAAGATAAGTTACCAACAAAATTGCTGTCTCTAGACAAACATACTGTATCCAGTGAGATACTGGAAGTGAGAGACTCTTAAGCTGGCAGTCAGTGTATTGTGAAGAACATTCAAAATTACAGTGATGCTTTGCCTTTGTCAAAATGTTTGAGTGCCTTTGGGCAGGGATTCATGAAATGGATCAACACAGAAAGTGTTTGAGTCCACCCCATCAGATGAAGCACTGTTCTAAGTGATTGATACATGGCAACACTACAGTTTGTGTACAGGCAGATGGTCTGTGAGCTGCAGTGCACATCTCTTTCAATGAGTTTTATTGCTGATGTGTAACATGTGTTGTATTGACTCCGTCTAGCCATTTGTCTTAAACAAAACAATTGCTTTATACCTTGTAGAAGCAATTGGAGACAATTTCCCTAGTGATTTCAATTCAAAGTGGTAGATACAGAGCTGGGAAGAAAAGTATGTTAATGGTAAATCTGAAAAGCAGTTGATATTGAGGTAATACAAATGTTTATAAAAAAATATGTAGAGGGGGAAAGCTGGAAATCTTGTGGGTTGATGGCCTTTTTCACTTAATCCTTCTAAGTATCAATTAATTATTCACAAAGATGGGCTGTCCTATGTTCATGACTTTGTTTTTTCAAATCTGGAATTGACTCATAATAGCCATGCAAGTGTGAGTTTAGAAGAGAAATTTGACAGACTTCCAAACTGACTTCCATTATCTGTGACCCACATGATGGTGCTATTCCCTGCTTTTGAATTACAGGCTTAGACTTCAGTAAGCTGCTCTGCTTTCAGAGCCATTTGATCACACACACAAAAGAAGCTTGGGATTGCTAGTCAGTCCTTACCAAATCCCAGCAATGCACTTTGATGTAGAGTTTCCATTAAAATGTTTTTCAGTTGTGTCTGAATATTGGCAGACTTTTATTATAAAGAGTTTTTCTATTCAGATAGAATTCTGTTTAATGCTTTGTTGCAGTACTATCAGGTAATGATCCCTGGCACTCCCCAGAGTGTCTCCTGCACAGTTTGGTTTTGTCTTGTATTTCTCCTGGCTCGGTCCTTGTCAGCAACGTGACGTGACTTTGTCACAGCAATGGAGCAAAAGTGCTTTAGAGTCGTGCTAGTGGCACATGGCTGGAACGGCTGATTGATCTCCCAGACCCTTCAGTAGCTGTGGTGAATCACCTGAAATGATGGTGGAGGCTTGTAAGCACTTTTAGTCTTAGTTAAGTGTACATAGTACATGTTACCAGATCTTCAGCTGAAATGCTTGCACAGGGTGAGAGGAACAGATTGCTCATAGCCATAGTCTGATTTGTAACTGTCCAAACAGACCAAAAAATGCATTGGACTTCCTTTCAGGTAGGGACCTGTAGCAAGAGTCTATTGATGGCACCTCAGTCAGAGCCTTGTTGGCCCTTGTAGCACATATGAAGTAATCTGTGCCTGTGTGTGTGATTTTGGTGGGGAAGGGGAAAAAATTGCTACCTGTATTTGCTGCCAGATCCTCTTTCATTTCCATGTTCTGAAACAAGTGTTCAGGAAACATTGTGACCCTTCATTAGTTCAACTCCATCATTCTGTTGAAAGAGTAGTCACCAGTCACCCTGGTTATGATGATCTTAAAAATATACTTGTCAAATGTTTTTGTAAGGCAAATAATTCACAGAAAGCTTGGGTCTTGAGTTGAAGCATTGAAACTATGTAAACATTTTGCGGTAGCCAGATGTCATTTAATAGCTTGATGATAATTGCTTGGTCTTCACATGAATTTCGTCTTTGTGGCTTTTTTCTTGAACATGTAACATATGTGGAATAGCCAGCAAATACAAATTTTATCAATCAGATATAGTTTGACATTTTTAACACTTTTTAAACTTTACAAATACCTGTTTACCATATGGTGTAAGTGGGTGTGCAGGAAACGACACTTTCATCAGCTCTGATATACTACTTTTCCATGATCTGAGCATGAACATTTCCTTTTAACGGGTGTGCTGAAGGCGAGCCTTTGAAGAATGGGTGTATGAGTTTGGACTGTAACATTTATGTTTGTGTAATTCTGTAGGTGGTTATTTTAAAATCACTTCATCTTTTAGCTTTTCCTATTTTTATTTGACTTCATTCACAAAAGTTTGTTCCAGATGAATGTTGCAATATGTGAAAGAAGTAACAGAAAAGCGAAATTTCTATTTTTCTTTTCATTGTTGCCAAAGCCAGTAGTTGTTTTTATTGTGGTCCATAGTATCCCATTTCCTGTTTATATTCTATGTCTTTTGAAGATGCTGCAGAGTTTCAAGGGAATTCCACGATCTTTGAACTGAAATCGTGTGTATCATTAAATTGAATTAGTCGTGATAGTTTCTTCAGAGATAGGGTCATAGTAGCAGTCAGTGACTTGGAGATACCGATCCCAAATGCTGTTCTGGCTTGTTTGCATACAATTAAGGTTTAGTTCAGTTGAGTAGCCCCTAAATGTTCTGTTGTGCAGTACCTCAAATATACATTGGACCAGTGTTACTCAGAGCATGTGACTTACCTCTTGATGCAAATTAGCAACTTGTGCTTGCTCCTTTTGCAGACAAAAGTTTCTGCTTCTGCTCCAAGAGCCACTTAAAAGTAGAATAGTACTCAACAATAACTGCTTTTCAAATTAAAAAAGTTAGGCCAAAAGGACATAGTTTTCCAAGATTAAAGTGTTTGTACATATATTCATAATTTTTTAACATGTCCCATCAAGATGCAAACTTTTAACAAATTGCTAGAAACTTGCACCTTTCTGAAATTACTTGTTGATTTAGTCTCTTGCTGATGAGATAATTAGTGACTTAATTAGTTTTTAAACAAAGCTCAGGTAAGGAAAAAATTGATCCACAGCTAAAATGTCTTTTCTTTTTTTAAGTTCCCTTCCTCAGTACTTAACGCCTGGCAATTTCTCTAACAATAGCAATACCTTTTTCTTTCTTGGTGTGAGCTATAGTAGCTATTCTTTAAACAGAGTATCTTAAACACGGTTTGACCTTTAGGATATGTTTGTAATTCATGAAACTATGTAATATTATAAACTGCCGTTTCCAAAAAAAGTGTGTGAGCTTCGTTGTATAAAGATTTTAGTTTTAGAGTATTACATCTTTTTGAAAAATAACGTCCTTGTTAACATCTTCATAAACCCATGGCAGGAGTAAGAAAATTCAGATAAAAATGTATCTAAATCTACATCATTGCCAAGAGAGTGGTTGACAATGCTGCAGCTGCCTGGCACCAGCACTCAGGAAGTCATGACTGTTCCTGCCACCAGTCTTTTCTCATATACAACCTACTTAATTCTGAGAAGGGTGAACTGAAGACCAGCAATAATGCATCTCTGGGGCTTTCTCTCACTATCCTTGTCTCCAGACTAACACTCTGAAATGGTTACTCTGATCCACTATCAGCACTTCCTCTGCTTCCCCGCTGATAAAGTGTCAGAATGCAAAAACCAACCTGCAGGCCGTGAGCAGGGGCTCTGTTCTGCCAGCTCGGGTAGAACTGCCCAACTTCTCCATTACACTGCTCGAACACACACACTGTCAGAACCGAGAAATCACATTGCTCTGATTACTCACTCAAATTGTTCCTTGGTTTGAGGATTTAGTTGATGTCTCGTGCCCGTGTGCATCGAGTAAAATTCACCATAATCCAAAATGCCTCTATGGGAGGCTTCTCTGTGTTTGAGGAAACCTTGGCACAAAGCAAAATGGATTTGCTACTCTTGAGTTGTGGTTTATGGCACACAGAGCTGGGGAAAATTGGCTGAGGAAGTGACCTTCTTGAAAGTCTTTATGAACTTTGACAGTGCGTGACTGTAAATATTATTCTTGGTTATTTTAAACAGAATTTTATGGCTCTTTTATATTTCACTCATGCAAAGAAGTATACAGCTTTTACTGTATGAGTGTTTAGGAGCTTTTTGGTAAAGAAGAAGATAATGACAGATCTTTCCTTTTATATGTGTAATTGCATAATGTTTTGCACTTTGTTCGTTCTGAATTTTGTTTATCTGCATTAAATAACATGAATATACAACCAATTAGAGGCATATAAACTACTCACTCTTTTTTTTTCTTAATTAGGTTTTTTTGTTTCACTGCATCTTAATAAAAAATCATATTTTGGTGTGGATCACATTTTATATAACATCTACAGTCTTACTGGAATGAATCAAGTGTGACAGTATACACTGCTCTTCTTCAGTACAGTTGTTTGGACACACAAGCTTTGGTTTTTTACATCAGACACTGAAAAATTGCTCTTCTGTATGAAATACATGTGGTTTTTTTTCCAGATTGTCACAAACTACTCCACTCAAGAATACTCAGACAAGCCCAATGTACACACAGTTCCTGACCACGCTGCTGGAAGAACTGCATTTCAAAAATGAAGATTTGGAAAGTCTAACAAGAATATTTAGAATGGACTGACGACTTGAATGGTCAGTCAATTTTAAGCTACTTTGTGTGTCATAAAACTAAGCCAGTTAACACTGGGTTTTATTTTCAGCATTCTGTAAGTATGCACAGTAACTACAGACTGTATCAGCCAGAGCAGAAAATGTATGAAGCACATTTTAAAGTAAAGAAATATATATGGCATGGAAATGAGTGTCATCATTTTGTCACTTACAGTAAATGCCAGCTGCTTACTTATCACATTAATCTTTTGATAATATATAGTGGTTTACTGCAATTTTGAGAGGAATTTTTACTACCACAATTTATAAAAAAAAAAAAAAAGAAATTCTATGTGGCTAAAACAGCCAAGGCTCAGCAGGGTTTTTTAATTATTACAATTAAATTGTTCTGTTCAGTCTCTGTGATATAAAATGGAGCCAAGAGATATGTATTTTTTGCTTAATGAGACAACATTGCATTCTGGGTGGGCCAAAAAATTTAGACCAAATACCTTATTTATATTGATCGTATTCAACTGATTCAATGAAAATAGAGTTTATAATATTAAAGTAATTAATGTATTAACATTAGTGATCTCAATCCTTTGTTCCCCACAGAATAACATGATCATCTTAACATCTCCTACCACCTGAAATAGCTGCACTGAGAATATAAGAACACCTTCAATTTTTGGAACTTTTTTAAAATGAAAAATGTAGTTTAGTATGAATTGTACTACTTGCACTTCTACTTTTTCATTTCCTTTCCACGAGTGAGAATTTTGAAGTCTTGTGGAAAAGCTGCCTTTAACAGCAGTTGCTCAGTGTATGCACGAAGATGAGTTACCATGTGGATCGTCTGAAAAACGAGTGTTTAAAAGCAGTAGAAAGGAATTTAGATTTGTTTTTTTCTTAGCTTGGAAACTTTCAGTTTGTCTACAGGAATTAGGGAAAGAGAGTGGTGGAGGGGAAGAATATTAGCCTGGAGTGTTAAGAACAGTGCTGCTGACGTTTTTCTGGTTGCCCCAGAGCAGTAACTTTAAGAATGACTGTGTCAGTACACAAAGATGTCTGAGTTATAGCCTGTTTCTCTTGCTGCTTCTTAAAAAAAGGGGGGCTGTGTTTGAACTTATGTAAAAGTTATTTTTTAACAGACTCTAATTGTTAATAATTTGAACTTAAAAATATATTTTAATAACTAAAAATGTTTGGCTTTTAGTAGTTATTTAATTTCAAAGAGTTGTGTTGTTTAGACTGAGTGTCTTTGGGCTTGCTTCTGGCACTAACTGATTATAAGTTGCAATTTAAAACTAGTCCACTAGTAATTCTTAATGCCTCCATAATATGGTTCACTGCATAGTTCTCAGTTCAGAGGACACTGCCCTTTGAGAGACGTGAGAAGAAAGTTGTAACTGACGGTTCTGAGTCTGCACCAAAGGCCAGCACTGGTTAAGGCAGCCACTCCATTTGAGAAAACAAAGTTTATTCCTTTGTTTTGTTTCTGCAATTGGACATAGTAAGGGAACTCTACACTTAATTAGTTTAATGCTATGTTGTTCCTTCCTATGTTCAGGATAATGCACAGAAGCCCATGCAGCTTTTCCCTGGAAGCGTCGTTGTACCGTCAGCTTTATTTAGGAGATGCTTGACTTTTCCTAACTTACCTTGTTCTGGGAAGCTATGTTCAGTATATGTTGTAAAAGCAACAATGTAGAAAGTGAATGACCTTTAATACAGAATTACAGCTACACATTTTTCTAAGTATGCAACAGGAAAAAATTACCCATTGCGATCAGAGCGTGTCTGATATAAAATACATGAGAGTTACTGGATAGAAGGTACGTTGGTTTTGGGCCATGATGGAAAAAGTTTACTTGATACATATGGAAAGAAGGGTCAAAACCTCACCAGAAGATAAACTTCTGTAGAAGACTGAGTAATAGGTATGGTACTCTGAGAAGAACTTAAACCTTGATTTTATATCTGTTTGGTTCTGATTTTAGAAGTTAAATATATTTCTATTTTTAGCTAGTGCTTCACTGTGGATGAG